CCTAAAAGAATATTTCACAGTTACTCCTCCTCACCCACTCCCCCTGGGGGCCTTTCCACAGTGCAGTCTTGTTGGCATACTTGGGTGACCTGGACAGCACTTCATTTTTTGAGACAGGATCTGTGTAGCTCAGGCTGGCACTGAATTCATGATCCTCCAGCTTCAGCTGAGGTTCCAAGCTCCTACCACCACGCCCAGCCCTTATTTTAATTATGTATTAGAGAATTCTGAAGAGGCATTGATTAAATGCTCTTTTTTTAATTTGAGGTTTTTTTGGTTTGTTTTTTTAAGTCTTAAAAGGTGGCTCAGCGGTTAAGAGCACTGTCTGCTCTTTCAGAAGTCCTGAATTCAATTCCCAGCAACCATGTGGTGGCTCACAATCATTTATAATGTGATCTGATGCCCTCTTCTGGCATGCAGGTGTACATGCAGTGGAGCATTCACAGAGAACTAAATAGATCTTTAAAAAAATTTATTTAGCTGGGAATGCATGCTTTTAGTCCGGGCACTCAGGAGGCAGATCTCTGTGAGTTCAAGGCCAATCTGCTCTACATATCAGGTTGCACTGTTTAGCCAAAGCTAAATAGCGACACCTTCTCTCAGGGGAAAAAAAAAAAAATATGTCTAGGGTGTTTTGCCTAAATCTATGTTTGTGTACTACATGTTTGCTTGGTGCCCAGGAAGAACAGAAAAGACATTGGTCCACTGGAAACACAGTTCCAGATGGTTCTGAGCCACTGTGAAGGCTGGGAATCTAAGCTGGGTCCTCTGGGAGAGCAACGCATGCTCTTACCTGCTGAGCCATCTCTCCAGCCTCTTATTCAGTTGTGTGTGTGTGTTTTAAAGTGAGTTGGGGGCTGAACAGATGGCTCAGCAGTTCTGCAGACAGACATGCAGGCAAAACACTCATATACATAAAACAGGTTAAAAAATTTAAGTAAATTGATTTTAAGGAAATAGGAACTCGATGGCCAGACCCATGAAGGAATTTCATTAATGGATAGAGCAATCAACCCCGACTCGGTCCATATGGAGTCCATTCTCATCTCCACTCCTCTGCCCACTTACTAGTTTACTTTCCAGGGCTTACTGTCTCCACGGTTCAGATGAGGACACAGGCATATTAAGGAAAGAAACTCTGTGGCCTGTGATCGAAACCCCTAGCATTTGGGAGGTGGAGGGTCAGGAGTTCAAGGTCATCCTCGCCTACCCAGGGTGTTCGAGTTCAGACTGAGTGGACTACTTGAGACCTTGTCTCAAATCCCACCCGACCCTCCAAAAGGAGAGCCCACAGGGAAATGAGGGGCGGAGAGTTCGCCCAAGGACCTTGACCTTCCTCCAAGCAGCCCTGGATGGCGGGACGCCCTGTCACTGTGGAGGAGGTGGGGGACTTAGAGTCAGGTCTTGAGCGGTCCCAAGAGTCAAACCAACCCAGAGAAAGAGAGTGGTAATGACTTTTGGTGAGGGACCCGTTGTCATGGGAACACAGGCCTGAGGCGCGCGCATGCGCACGGCCAGCAGGAAGGGGGCGCCGAACCGGTGAAAGGTGACGTAAAACGCTCGGGGTGGGGCGGAAGGCTCGCCCGGTGGGAGCCGCGGCCTTCGGTGTCCACAGCGGAGGGAGGGCGCGAGGGAGGGCGCGAGGCGGCGGAGACGGAGTGCGTCCGGAGGCCGGCCACACGCCGCCGGAGCAAGCCGCGGGGATCAGGCTGGCCCGCTGCCGAGGCCCCGCCTCTCGGACCTCGGGACTAATCGGATTGAAAGCGCGCCGGCCCCGGGCCCCGAACTCGCCAATTGAGGAGGACGGCGGTCACCGCCCAATCCGGGGCAGACAGGTGCGAGGTCCGGAAGGTGGAGGCCAATCGGGAGCGGTTGCGGCCTGCCGGGGCAGGGCTCAGCCAATGAGGAGGCTTGAGTGACAGCCGGGCGCGCCAATCGAGAGTGAGGAGCGGCCGTGCCCGCCCGCCCTTCCGGCCGGAGCTCTATTTACCAGGGGTGTGCAGCTCGCTTGCCAATCGGAGTGCGCCGGAGCGGCCGGACAGCCAACCCCGGAGGAGTGGCCGGCTGGCAGCCGCCGCGCCCAGGAGTTGGGATGTCCTACAAACCTATCGCGCCGGCCCCCAGCAGTACCCCCGGCTCCAGCACCCCCGGACCAGGCACCCCGGTCCCTACAGGTGAGCTTCCAACTCCATCCCTGCTCGCCTTGTCCGGGCAGTCGAGTTTTGCAGTACGGGGCCTGCTGGGCGAGCCTTGCTCGGCCTCAGTTTGTTGGCCAGAGAAGTGGGCGTGGTCACGTAGCGATCGTAGGTGGAGCGCTGCGGGGGGGGAGGGGGGAGGAAAGTGTCTCTGAAGTTGTTCGGCGTGGAAGAGGCATGCCTTTGGGGATGATCAGGCGGGCGGTCCTGGGTTTGGAATGCTGCGATGAGGCCCTTGTCACACTCTGACCTCCTAACCTGTGCTGTTGCAGCCGGAAGTGTCCCGTCGCCGTCGGGCTCAGTGCCCGGAGCTGCGGCACCTTTCAGACCACTGTTTAATGACTTTGGACCGCCCTCCATGGGGTATGTACAGGTGAGTGTGGCCAAGAGCTTGCTATGGATGGGGACAGGCGATCCCCTCAGTGTCTGAGGTCACTTCTCTATTTTTCTTTCTTTCTTTTGACACAGGCTATGAAGCCCCCCGGTTCCCAGGGCTCTCAGAGCACCTACACGGACCTGCTGTCTGTCATAGAGGAGATGGGCAAAGAGATCCGGCCCACCTATGCTGGTAGCAAGAGTGCCATGGAGCGCCTGAAGAGAGGTAAGTGAAGACACAGACCCACCCTTGTTTGTTCATTAAGGCGTCTGGAGTCAGTGCAGGACTCCTGGGCCAGCCTGGATTGGGCCAGAACCTCTACTCAGGGAGGTGTTTCCAATGAACTTGAGTCAGTTTCCAAGTTGCCTGTTAACTCTGAGTGAATGTGAGGATTAGCTAAACCCTTAATCTCATCCAGCCTCATTAGATTAGAGCTGCCCTTCCTGAACCATGAAGGGGCTGGGGCAGAGTCTCCCCTGAAGGGTGGGAGTTGTGGCCATAGAAGGCTGCTGAGACCCTCTTCCCTCCCCATCCCCACCCCAGGCATTATCCACGCTCGGGCACTTGTCAGAGAGTGCCTGGCAGAGACAGAACGCAATGCCCGCACGTAACAGGAAGCGCCTTGACATCCTCGTCTGGACCTTTCTGGCCACTGCAGAGCACCTGCTTCTCCCTGGCCTTCGCCCCAAGTTGCTTCCTCTCCTGGGCTTCCTGTCCTGTGTCCCTTGGTGGGCGCGCTCCAGGAACCAGGCAGCAGGTCTTCCAGTTGGCTGTACAAACTGGGCCCCTCTCTCTGCAGGAGCGAGTCCCATCCATGACCTGCTCACAGTGCTGATCCAACTGGAGCTTGCTCCTTTCTGTGGCCCCACCACATTGCACTTACTCCTTAACTTAGTCCCTCCAATAGGAGTGCAGAAGGCCTCCCTTCTGGCCTCACCTCTGGGGCTACAGCCAACTCTTTTTTTGGTGTGTCTTTTACTAAATATGCCCTTTTTGTATAAATAAAAGATGATTTGGAGTCGTTCTCTTATCTCTGAGCCTTTCCGTGTGTGGTTCCTCTGAAGAAGCCTAAGTGAGCCGGGAGGAAGGGCAAGAGTAGAGCAGGAAGTGGGGAAGGCTGCTTGAACCCAGCTTTGCTTTGCCACCTCTTTCTCTGTGCTTTCCAGCTGGGAGAGCAGCTGAAAGGCCACAATGTCAGCAGTGGGGAAGCGTGCATCTCGCAGTGCCGCCAGGGGGCAGCGCAGGGCCTCGGCTGCATCCGCAGCTGGAGGCACCTTTGGACAGCCTGAGCCTGGAGGCCCTCCCTGTGGATTGGCAGGCATGCCTGGCAGGGTGGAAATACCAGTTCACTTAACTCTCCCTTCAGTGCCCTAATGCCCCTACACTACCCTCTGCTCTAAATTGTCTTTGGAAGGCTGTAAATACACCGGGTCGCCGACTCCTCAGGCAGGCAGTTAGAGGCGCCCTTCCCCCAGCACTCGGCTTGATGCTGCTATCCACTGTCCCAACAACTTCCACCAGGATGGGTGTGGCTGCGTGAGCCAGCCCTCGGTGTTTTAGTCTGTGTACAGAGTCGGAGCACTTAGATGGGTGGCCAAATTTGAGAACCTAGCAGGCATAAGTAGGGAAGGACTTGGGCTCCATTAAGGAAATGGCCCAGAGAATTGTAATGTCAGAGGTCTGTATCTGGGTGTGGAGCTGAATAAGCCTGAAATCCCAACCCTAGGCAGAGGCAAGTGAGAGCTACTAACTTCTGGCTAACTTTGGGGTGCAGCGTTTCCGCTAAGCTGGGAGCCAGCCAAGGCAAATTCCACCTCTTCCAACACACAAGAGGGCTGCCCTGGCTAGCCAGGGTGGGAAATGAAACCGAGGATCCTAGGGCTGTCCAGGCAGCACAGAAATAAAGAACTGGCATTTGGGGACCGGCCTCTTCCCCATCTGCCTTGGACAAGGAAGGCAAGGGGCCTGCCCTTCGGCGCCGCGGGCGGGGCTGCCCCGACCCTGCTGGGGTGGGGAGGACTAGTCGGGCCCAGGAAGGGGGCGGGGCGGCCGCAGTGACGCGGTGGGGAGGGACAACAGGGGCGCCGGCGGGCAGACCGAGAGAAAGGTCGGGGCTATGGGCCGGCTCTGCGCCTCCAGAGGATCGGGCTCCATCTGGAATCCGAGGCCGGGACTGGGGGCACAACGGACTCCCACCTTGGAGCCGGCCGCCCCTGCCCGGGCCGGGTGAGGGGCGCCCGCCAGAAGGTAGAGGTGAGAGGGGACACCGGTGAGCGGGCGGGTCAGGAGCGCGCCTGGCGACCGAGGCGCCCAGCAGAGGGAAGTAGAGCCCGAGGGCCTCTCTCCCGCCTGCCCGCCGGGTGCGAGGTGGGGGTGGGAGGGGCGGCTGCGGCGGAACTGTGGCGCCAGGCCGGGACGCAGGTGGGCAGAGCGGGCCTCCCAGGGCGGAGGCCGGAGGGCTACCAGCGGACAGCGGAATGGGCAGCAGCCCGGAATGGCCAACCTCGTGGGAAGATGACGGGGTGGCGGCAAGGACGAGGGGAAAGTCGGCGCAGACCGAGAGTACAGTTCAGGACCCCGGTGGCCGCTAGGGCGGTGAAGGCGGGCGTGGAGGTCGCCGAGGGCCTTTTCCTGGCACCGAGAGCCAAGTTAGCATTAGCAGAGTCGCAGGGACGCACAGGGGATGCTCCCTGAGAGACGCCCTGGGGGACGAGGGTCTAGGTGGATGTCTGCGAGTGGGACACGCCGGACCCCATCGACTTCGGGAGGGGTGGGGGATGAAGTCGTGAAGGGGGCGGGTCCCTAAGGTTCTAGGCTTGGAGGGCGGGCGCGGCACGGAGGGATGCTGTTTCCGAAAGCGCTGGACGCGGCAGCCGTGGAGACGCGAGGATGGCCTTGCGGCGTGTCGGCCCGCGTCCGCCGCTCTGGGGGGCCCGCGTCAGCGCGCGGTTGCCATGACGACAGGCGGGCGGGGGGCGGGGGCTGCGTGGAAAAGAGGTCAGCTCTGAGCCTTACTGCTGCTCCTGGCTCCGGCGGCGGCGCGGGAGGCAACACCGGGTTCGCCTCTGCCTCCCCCGCGGCGGGCCCGGGCATGGGGTTCTTCGGCCCGAGCCCCCCGGCGGCCGCGCAGGGCTCGGTCCCGCGCACCACCGCCCTGCACTGACTGACGCGCGGTACCCTGCGCTAGGAGGAGCGGAGGCCGCACGCGGTCACCGGAGCGTCTTCAGGATGCTCGTCAAGGAGTACCACATCCTGCTGCCCATGAGCCTGGAGGAGTACCAGGTGGCCCAGCTCTACATGATCCAGGTGAGAACGCTGGGGAAGGCTGTGCTGAAGCGATGCTTCCCAGTGGAGTGGAGAAGGAATTCACAGGCCGCTGGGGGATAGTCCCCCAGCCAGTTCCGTTAGTGGGTTCTTTCTAGCCCAGAAGAGGAAAGAGAGACATCCTTTTGGGATATTCAAGTGCAAGTGTCGAACAGAAGGGCAGAAGGGCAAGAAAGGCCAGCCGGTGCTTTCCATGCATTAAATGCCCAGCCTGCACAGCCCACATATGGTCTCCTTTAATCCTAAAATCTGTAATCCTGTGGGGGAAGGGAATGCAGCCTATGAGGCGACTGGGGAATCAGGGACACTAGGTGGTAGGTAGCTTAAGCGGGAAGGGGTTCTAGGGAAAAGTGTGGAATTCTGGCGTCCCCAGGAGATCAGAAAGGAGGCATGTGGATCAGGCCCGAAAACTGTGGCAGGGTCAGGGCAGGCAGGGACTATATGGTGAGGAACGGCATCTGGCCTCGGCCGTGAGAAAGATGCTGGATCAAGGCAAGCTATCAGGGCTTGGGGGGGGGGGGTATGAGGAAGGCCTGCTCTCTAAGGCCTGTCTGTGAGGAGAGAGGACCACATCCCACCTCTTGGGGGTTGAGTGGGTCTCATTGGGGTTGCAGAGTTAGGAAAGGACAGCTGGAGGCTCTTGAAGGATACCACAGGGGCCGGGAAGAGGGTGAGCCAAGTCTGAGAGGTGTGGTCTTGGTGCTACTCCTTGAACCTACTCATCCTGCCCTACCGCCAAGCCCCCAGCCTCCGTGCACACACACATACGCTCATGCGTGCTCGTGCACGCCCCACCCCACCACATATTCAAGTGACCATCCTACCGGCATTCGGTTCCCAGCTCTCCACCCTCACCGAGCCTTCTTTTCCTCAAGCGCTCGCCATCCTCCTGTCTTCTCCCTCTGCTGCTGCTTCAGCTGTAGCAGGAGTAGGTGCTGTTTGTCAACAGATACCGGTTCTGCATCCCAACCAGTTGCTAACCAGATCAAGTGCTAGGCTGCAGAAACCCATGGGAACTGGGCAGAACCTCCCATCCCAACCCCAGGAAGTTGCAGGGATTTGGAAGGCTGTTCTGGCTGAAGAGATAGCTCAGCCGCTAAAAGCACTTGGTGCTCTTGCAGAGGACCTGGATTTTTGTTGTTGTTGTTCCCAGCACCCACACGGCAGCTCACAATCAATGAGACTACCCAGGTTCTGGGGATCCAATGCCCCCTTCAGGCACCAGATGTGTGTGTGATGCGCGCACGTTTACACAGGCAAGCCCTCACATGCTTAAATAAACCTCTTTAAAAGAAGGGTTAATGCAAAGAATCAGAACCAACCCGAGGAGCCCAGGATGTAAGCTAGGGGCTGAGTTCCCCCATTCTCTGTCCTGGGCTGCAGAAAAAGAGCCGGGAGGAGTCGAGTGGCGAGGGCAGCGGTGTGGAGATCCTGGCCAACCGGCCCTACACAGACGGGCCTGGAGGCAGCGGGCAGTACACACACAAGGTGTACCACGTGGGATCCCATATCCCAGGCTGGTTCCGGGCACTGTTGCCCAAGGCTGCTCTGCAGGTAGAAGAGGAATCCTGGAATGCTTATCCCTACACCCGAACACGGTGAGTGCGGGAGGTAGGCACAGGCTCGGGACTGTGAAGGAAACCGCGCCGCTGACACAGCAGTGATTTTTCTACTGCCCTCTGCCAGGTACACCTGCCCCTTTGTGGAGAAATTCTCCATTGAGATAGAGACCTACTACCTGCCTGATGGCGGCCAGCAGCCTAACGTCTTCAACCTGAGCGGGGCTGAGAGAAGGCAGAGGATCCTGGGTGAGGCCTTCTTGGGGCCCCCTGCTGTTACCCTGGTGGGCAGTCTCTGAAGAGTGCCCCAGTTCTAAGTCTCATCTTCCTGTCTGAGAGGCTTCCCACCTAATCCTTTGGGGTGGTGGGGCAGAGATCAGAACAGGGGCTGGCTTTGCTTAGTGCTGGACTGAAACCCCTTCAGACACCATCGACATCGTGCGGGATGCAGTGGCCCCCGGAGAGTACAAAGCAGAAGAGGACCCTCGGCTGTACCGCTCCGTCAAAACAGGCCGAGGGCCACTGGCAGATGACTGGGCGCGGACAGCAGCCCAGACAGGACCTCTCATGTGTGCCTATAAGCTGTGCAAGGTCGAGTTCCGCTACTGGGGCATGCAGGCCAAGATTGAGCAGTTCATCCATGATGTCGGTGAGCATCTGGATGAGGAGCATCCCGTATGCCCAGGCCCGTGTTTGGAGCCAGACATGCTCCCATCCACCGGGGACATGGCAGCATGAAACCATCATTTCCATCTAGGGTAGAACACAGGGAAGGGGAGGGTGGGGCTAGTGTACTCTGGCTAGGACTCAAGGAGCCTGCTTTGAGATAACCCAAAAGAATCAGGAGGGCAAGAAGATGGCAGCCTGGTCTCTGAGGTCCAGGCTGTCTCCAATACTCAAAGACGTTGCCACCTTTGTGAAGCCTCTATGAGTTTGGCGATACTGAGAGACTCTGAGGAGGGTCATCAGCCCTCCCAGGACTTGCTTTTTTATTCCATCGCTGTTTTCCCCTGGGTGCCCTCCCTTCCCCAGCACCCAGGGTCACAGCCATGGCCCTGATAACGAAGACCCACTCTAAGCCTCTTCATCCCCCAGAGCTGCTGCTCAGCCCTATTTGCTTGTCAGCTCTTAATGTAGGCCACGTGCACACACGTAGAAGGACCATCCCCGGGTGGGAGAGTCCCATAGCCAGGTTGGACTCCACCCAGTCCCGACCCCTGCAGCTGTCCCAGCAAGCTGTGAGCCATCTCAGCACCTTAAATTCCTTTCTGACATGAGGAAGGGGTGAGGACAGATTGTGACAGCCAGTGCCTGAGTGACTGATGACAATGTACCAGATCCTTTACTACAGGGTCCCCTTTAGCACTCATGACACCCCTTTAAGACTGGGGCTACTGCCATTCCCATTTTGCAGATGTTACACAGAGTTTGAAGAGTAATGCAGACTCCCTGTGATGCTTTTGGAAAAAGTCACCGACATGCAACCTCTCTTAGAATACTAATGCATTTCCTTCCAAGGGTTTGTAATTCAACCATTATTACTTTACGCCCTCGATTCTTCGGGGTCTCTTAACTTTATTTCTCCCCTTAAGATGAAAATAACCCAGAATGGGTATCGTCTTTCACTTCACCCTCTGAGGATTGCCAGAATTCCCATTAACTATTAACACCTTCATTAACCATGACATTTCATTAACTATTACCACCTTAATTAACTGTTAGCTCCTCAGCAGGAAGCCAGCTGAAAACAAGCCACAGCCTTGGTCCTGTCTGCTAGAGTGACAGGATCAGAGTGTCCAGAGAAATAGACCAGAAAGGACAGGCAGACAAATGCTCCCGTCTCCTGTCCTGTTCGCTAGATAGCTCAGGCCCTGCTCTACTTTGTGTTTCTTGGTAGGTGGTATGCCTCAGGGAGCCATTACCTAACCTTGAGGACCGGGCATGCGGCTGTGCCAGCGGGGAGGTGGAGGTGGGAGGCACGGTTCTGATGTCTGGGGCACCTGCAGGTCTGCGCAGGGTGATGCTTCGGGCCCATCGCCAGGCCTGGTGTTGGCAGGATGAGTGGGTAGAACTGAGCATGGCTGACATCCGGGCGCTGGAGGAGGAGACCGCACGCATGCTGGCTCAGCGCATGGCCAAGTGCAACGCTGGCAGTGAGGGTCCTGAGGTCCAGACCCCTGGGAAAACCAGCACTGAGGCCCGGCCTGGGACCAGCAGTACTGGCACCCCTGATGGGCCTGAGGCGCCTCCTGGTCCCGACGCCTCACCAGATGCCAGCTTTGGGAAGCAGTGGTCCTCATCCTCCCGTTCTTCCTACTCATCCCAGCATGGAGGTGAGACTGGGGCACGGGGGCTGGGAGGGAGCCACTCGCCCTGCCTGGGCTCCCAAGCTGAAGCCCAGGTGGCCCCGCAGGTGGCGTGTCCCCACAGAGCTTGTCTGAGTGGCGCATGCAGAACATAGCCCGAGACTCTGAGAACAGCTCCGAGGAAGAATTCTTTGATGCCCACGGTCAGCACAGAAGACACGTGTGGAGGGGGGTGGTCTTCGAGCGATCTTAAGACACCCCACCCCATGACACAACCCCCTGTCCCCTCAGAAGGTTTCTCAGACAGCGATGAAGTCTTCCCCAAGGAGATGACCAAGTGGAACTCCAATGACTTTATCGATGCCTTTGCCTCCCCAACCGAGGTGGAAGGGGTGCCAGGTAAAAGACCTCGCCTCAGGGTAGACAGCAGCGCCCTGTGTGCCGCAGGGACTCACAGCAGCTCAGCCCTGAGGGAATGGGGCCGGAGAGGAGGGTCAGTCTGGAGAGGGTTCCCATCGATGCTTAGATGGCAAGAGGATGGGTAAAGTGTGGGATGGTGGATGAGAGAGGAGCAGACAAGTCCAGGTGGCAGGGACGGACTCCCTGGGTATCCAGGAAGACTTGCCATGGGTACTGATATCTACGCTGGGTCTTCCTGGGTTGAGCTACTTCCCCCCCCCCCCCGCCCCATGTGGTAGCCACCAGCACCACGTGAAGAGCAGGCACTTCAGTGCGGGTTTTATTTTTCTCATATCATATTTTAATTCGCTTCAGCATAAATTGCCACGTGCGGCTTGTGGCCATCATGTGGTTCCCCTGAGGTGCTTGCTGATGCCACTTTGTTTGGCTTTGGGGATTTTGTTTGGCGGTAGAACACTTACGCTTGCTGGGCTAGTGCTCCTCCACCAAACCCCCAATCCTGTGGTTTGCTGTATCACATGGGGCAGGATAAGGAGTTCGCCGGAGGCTTTGCGGCAACATCTCAGGGCCAGCATGAGGGAGAAGCCTAAACTGTAAAGTGGTCTGGAGGTTTGGGCGAGAGTAAGATAGGGAATGGCAGGTGGTCATCATGGCTAGGGTGCCTGAAGCGCCACGGAGAGGATTGCAGTGGTCTTTGGTTCCCCCTCACTGGCTCTCCCTTGCCTTAGATCCTGCAGTCATGGCTACCAAAGGCATTGAAGATGGGGCCCGAGCTCCCAGGGACTCAGAGGCAAGTATGTTCAACCACCGTATGCCCGTGTTCTTCTCGTTTTCTGACTGGCCACTGACACCCCGTACCCCATCTTGTCCTCAGGGCCTGGATGGAGCGGGGGACCTAGGGGTTGAGGCGTGCTCCGTGCATGCCCTCTTCCTCATCCTGCACAGCGGCAGCATCCTGGACTCCGGCCCTGGAGACACCAGCTCCAAGCAGGCTGATGTGCAAACGCTGAGCACAGCCTTTGAGGCTGTCACCCGGGTCCATTTCCCCGAGGCCCTGGGCCACGTGGCGCTGCGGCTGGTGCCCTGTCCACCCATCTGCGCGGCTGCCTATGCCCTTGTCTCCAAGTACTTGCCAGGGTTGGAAGGGTGGCACACACACAGGGTCCCCAAGGGGCAATCATCTATTTGGGGGACTCCCAAGATCAGGGAGGTCGTGGGGGTAGAGAGAGAAATCACATGCCTGGATCGGTCCTGGCCACGAACGGACCAGATCTGGATTGGTTTGTCTGATTTTGCTTTTATGCTTATTTTATGTGGATGGGTGTTTTGCCTATGTGTGTATCTGTGTACCTCGTGTGTGTTTAGTGTCCAGAGGCCAGAACATATCTGCTCCCCTGGGAACTGGAGTTACAGACAGCTGTGAGCTGCCACGTGGGTGCTCGCAACCAGACCCAGGTTCTCTGGATGAGCAGCCAGTACTCTCAACTGTCGAGCCACCGCTCCAGCCCCCGATGTTGCTCTTCCGAGAGATGGTCTCACTCCAGCCCTCGCTGGCTTGGAACTCACTATAGCTGAGACTGGCCTCAACTTGTGGGAAAATGATTCTGTGGTGGGGGTGGGTCACTACAACACAAGGAAGTGGATTAAAGGGTCGCAGCGTTAGGAAGGTTGAGAACCGCTGCTCCAGAGGGCTGGGGTCACGGGGTGCGGCATCGTGGCTGGATACGCACAGACCCGATCCATGGTTCCACCTGGAACGCCTCTCAGGTCTGACGTCCCACGAAGGACACTTGCTGGCAGGCACAGGGAGCTGGTGGCAGTGGTTAAACTGAAGGCCTCTACCCACCCGCCACCCCTTCTCCCGCAGCCTGAGCCCGTACAGTCATGATGGTGACAGCCTGTCCCGCTCCCAGGACCACATCCCGCTGGCTGCCCTGCCACTGCTGGCCACCTCATCCTCCCGGTACCAGGGTGCTGTAGCCACTGTCATCGCTCGCACCAACCAGGCCTATGCAGCTTTCCTGCGCTCACCGGAGGGCACGGGTTTCTGCGGGCAGGTCAGGGGTTAGACACTCTCCCAAGAAGCATCGGGTACCCGTGCAGCAGTGGCCCCATCTGGGTGGTGACAGAGCCTCTGAGTTGTGCCACCTTCTCACCCAGGTGGTGCTGATCGGAGATGGCGTTGGTGGCATCCTGGGCTTTGATGCGCTCTGCCACAGTGCCAGTGCGGGCACAGGGAGTCGGGGCAGCAGCCGCCGTGGGAGCATGGTCAGTGTGGCCAAACCCAGCCTCCTCAGGAGGGGGTTTGTCTCCATCTCTAGGTCTCTGCCCCACTGGAATATGGCCTCTTTGCATGTGGGCAGGGCCCCAGCTGCAAAATGGAGTCTCCTCTGGGACTCTGCCCGATCCAACCCCAAGCCTGCCTCCTCACTTCCAAATTAAGTGGGAATCAGATGGTCTCGGGCCTAAGGATGCTTCTGTCCTCTGTTCCTTCTAGAACAATGAGATGCTCTCCCCAGAGGTGGGTCCAGTACGGGACCCGCTGGCAGACGGGGTGGAAGTACTGGGTCGTGCCAGCCCAGAACCCTCAGCTCTACCTGCTCAGCGTACCTCCGGTGACACGGCCAATCCTGAGCCTGATGGCTCTCAGAACAGGTGACATCCCTGCCCAGTAACCCCTACCCTTAGCATAGGCTGGACCTCAGAGACAACAGCACTGAATGTCTCCTTCCCTTGCAGCCTGCAGGTAGCTTCTGCGGCCACGTCCTCTGGAGAGCCCCGTCGGGCAAGCACAGCCTCCTGTCCACCTGCCAGTTCTGAGGCTGCTGAGGCCCCCACCAATACTGCTCGCCTGGACTTCAAGGTCTCAGGCTTCTTCCTCTTCGGCTCCCCACTGGGTCTGGTGCTGGCTCTACGCAAAACCGTGATGCCCGCCTTGGAGGGTGAGTCTCTGGGGTAAAGGGGAGGGCTCACCTGCTTCTGTTTGCTCCTTCCCAACCTCTGCTAGCCTTGCTGGCTCACTTGAGACAGGGGTATTTACTTACTGTCCTTCCTTGCTGTGAAGGAATGGCCTGGCTAGGGGGGGTGGGGAGGGTGGTCGAAGGCCCAGAAAGGATACCAGGAGGAGCATCTTGGGGGGAAAAGGTATTCTCTGTAAGAAAGGGCTCCCGAGGCTGGAAAGTTGGCTTAGTGGCTAAGAATACTGGTTGCTTTTGCAGAGGACCTGGGTTCTGGGTTCAACTCCTAGCACCCACATGGCAATTCACAACTGTAACTCAGTTGCAGAGCATCTGATAGCCCTTTCTGACCTTCATGCACATCACGCTCATACACTCATACACATAACATAAATAAATCTAAAGGGAAATTGAAGACTTTTTTTTAAAAGAAGGGGCTCTCACATAGGAAGTGCTCCATGTCATGACTCAACAGCCACTGAAGGCTCCCAGCTGCTCGGCCAGGAGACCCCTGCAATGCCTGGCTTAACCATCCCTCCCTGGGCACCCCCACAGGCTAGGCGTACCAGAACACACTTTCAATCTTAGCACTTAGCACTTGCAAGGCAGATGCAGGCAAATCTCTGTGAGTTTAAGGCCATCCTGGTCTACAGAGTTGTAGGACAACCAGGGCTACAGAGAGAGACCCTGCCTACAAACAAACAACAACAAACTCCCCCTACTCTGTCTCATGGGTACACAGTGGCTCAGATGCGTCCAGCCTGCGAGCAGATCTACAACCTCTTCCATGCCGCTGACCCCTGTGCCTCCCGCCTGGAGCCCCTGCTGGCCCCCAAGTTCCAGGCCATCGCCCCCCTGGCTGTGCCTCGTTACCAGAAGTTTCCCCTCGGAGATGGCTCCTCCCTGCTGCTGGGTACAACTCTCCCCTCCCCCCAGCCAGTGTTGAGAGAGGGAGTCGGTAAAAGCCAGCAGGTAGCCCCCACATCATAGGTAACCTCTCCTGGATGCAAGGTTCCTTCCATAGGCAGCCAGGATTCCCAGGACCTTTAGACCTTTAGTCAAGTAGGTGCCAGTGACTAATCTAGAGAGACTGAGGGGCACTGGCATGTCACCATGGCCTCCACGTGCAGCTGGCTGCATGCTCTAGGGGCTCCCGTGTATGTTCGCATGTTCTGGGGTGGCAGGCATTCTGGCAGGAGTATAGTTGACTAAGCGCAACCACAGGCAACACTGTTCCTCCCTGAAAACAAAACCAACAAACAAAAAACCTGGAAAGTCATCTGCCTCAGCCAAGCAGAGGCTCAAAGGACACATAGTAAGCCCAGGAGCTGGGTTATTCTGGGGCCTCTGGAAGAAGAGACATGGGGCAGCCTTGTGCTGCCCAGCCTGGTGCTCAGGTTGGTCCTCTTCCCCAGCTGACACTTTGCAGACCCACTCGGGCCTCTTTCTGGAAGAGCTGGAGATGATGGTGCCCTCCACGCCCACCTCGGCCAGCGGTGCCTTCTGGAAGGGCAGTGAATTAAGCAATGAGCCAGCAGCCCAGCCAGCAGCCCCCAGCACCACCAGCGAGGTGGTTAAGAGTAAGTCAGCTCTACGGGCCCGCACTGTCAGCCTGGCTGGAAGAGTGTCCTTTCATAAAGTAGACACACTATCCCAGGTAGATGGAGGTGAGGGAGGGAAGAACCCGTCTGCCAGGTGGATGGGCGGCGGGCAGCAGGCCACCCTGACTCGCTGCCCACCATGGCTGTGTAGTCCTGGAACGCTGGTGGGGAACCAGGCGGATCGACTATTCACTGTACTGCCCCGAGGCTCTCACCGCCTTTCCCACGGTCACGCTGCCCCACCTCTTCCACGCCAGCTACTGGGAGTCAGCCGATGTAGTGGCCTTCATTCTGCGCCAGGTGAGTGGAGCCTGGGGTGTGGGCCAGCGGGCAGACGGGAAGCACAGGACTGTGGAAGAGGGCTGTTGTTTCCTGCCTGGTGTCCTGAGCAGGTCATTGAGAAGGAGCAGCCGCAGCTGACGGAGTGTGAGGAGCCGTCCATCTACAGCCCTGCCTTCCCCAGGGAGAAGTGGCAGCGCAAACGCACACAGGTCAAGATCCGGGTATGTGCCCGGCTGCCAGGAGCCAGCTGGGGCCATCTCCCTAGCATCCTCTTAAGTCCCACCCTCAGGGTCCTGGCCTCATACCCTCCTTGCCTTGGCTCTGCCTCTGGAAACCTGTTTCCGCTGCCTGCTTCTTCCTGGTTGTTATCTCATTCACCGTGACCTGACATCCTCTGCATCCTGTCAGACAGCTCCCCTCCACGTACTTCGAATGGGTCCACAGATGTCCACATGCTTAGCCTCCATGGTCTCCCGAAGCAGCCCTACCTTCTTCATGCCCCACCCTCAGAGTGCCCTGAATCCACCCTCCGCCAAGTCTTCCTCCCTACAGTCGAGTCCTTAGCCCACCCTCTCTTTCCCACCAGAATGTCACTTCCAACCATCGGGCAAGTGACACCGTGGTATGTGAGGGCCGTCCCCAGGTGCTGAATGGGCGCTTCATGTATGGACCATTGGATGTGGTTACACTCACTGGAGAGAAGGTCAGGACCAGACACCCACGCTCTTGCTCTTTCCTACCTTGCCCTAATAGCTGATGAGCTGTGGGGCGTGAACCCCCTCCCTGCCTACCCACCCTCTGCTCTCGCCTGCCTGTCAAATGGTGCACAGCAGCTCTGCCTCCACAGCCCTTCCAACCCCCTTCCAGGTGGATGTCTACGTCATGACACAGCCACTGTCAGGCAAGTGGATCCACTTTGGCACAGAGGTCACTAACAGCTCAGGCCGCCTCACCTTCCCGGTGCCTTCAGAACGTGCGCTGGGCATTGGTGTCTACCCCATACGCATGGTGGTCAGGTGAGCAGCAGGTTTTTGGGCTCCTGAGGGGCCGGGCCCCGACAGCCACGTCCCACTCGACTTATGCCATGCCTCCCTGGACCACAGGGGTGACCACACCTATGCTGAGTGCTGTCTGACTGTGGTGGCCCGAGGCACAGAGGCTGTGGTCTTCAGCATCGACGGCTCTTTCACGGCCAGTGTCTCTATCATGGGCAGCGACCCTAAGGTGCGCGCTGGCGCTGTGGACGTGGTCAGGTAGGAACCGCAGCCCCGCTGGCCACGATGACTGGTCATCACTCTGGACTGTGGAGCTGACAGGCCTCCATCTACAGGCACTGGCAGGACTCAGGCTACTTGATTGTGTACGTAACGGGCCGGCCTGACATGCAGAAGCACCGGGTGGTAGCCTGGCTGTCGCAACACAACTTCCCCCACGGTGTCGTCTCCTTCTGTGACGGCCTCACCCATGACCCACTGCGGCAGAAAGCGATGTTTCTGCAGAGCCTGGTGCAAGAGGTACTATGGCTGAGAATGACCCCATCCTGCCCACACGCACCCCATTCCACACGACAGTGGTCCCACTCCTGTCAACTTGGACCTATTGAGGTCTTTGTGGTCCTGTTCTCCTGAGGGCCCTTGTCCTTGGGGTCAGCTGGGGAGATTGAGCTGTCTTGACTAGGACCTTGTCCCCATCTCCTCACAAATAGCAGTGCCCCTGAAACAGCAACTTGGGAATGCATGCCCCGCCCTCGGCCCTCTGGCTCCACCCTCAGGGCTGCTGACTGGCTTCTCAACAGGTAGAACTGAATATTGTGGCTGGATATGGGTCACCAAAAGATGTTGCAGTGTACGCTGCCCTGGGACTGTCTCCAAGCCAGACCTACATTGTTGGCCGCGCTGTGCGGAAGCTGCAGGCGCAGTGTCAGGTGAGGGCCCAGGGAAGGCTGGGAAGAGGATTTCAGGAGTAAGGCAATGTGCTGAGTCAGTCCTACGAGAGGGGGCAGGTCTTTGTGGCACCAGTGACTCTTCCTCCTAGGACAGGGGCCGTGGGCTGTACTTGCTGCGTATAAACTAGAAGTGGTCACAGAGGCTGTGATTGCTCAGGGTCCCAGGTACTGATCCTCCTGCCCTGGGCAGGTGCATTGACCTTTCTGAGCCTCTGCTGTAGGTTGCAAATGATGCTAGTACTCTCTGTACCCATTAGCTTATAACAAAGGTCAAAGGCTCAGGGCTAGGCCTGGGTGCTCACTAAATACCAAATGCTGTTATTTCCCCAAGATGCCAGCTTGAGGATGAGTCAGGTCCAGAGAGAGGCAGGTTGGGGAGTGGAGCCAAGGTGCCTGGCTCAGTCTGGGGATACTATGTTCCAGTCAAGCTAAGCCAGGCTGCCACTTGCCAGTATCACTCAGTCTACCTCCCCTGTGCAGGAGCCTCAGGAGAACAGGGAGGGCAGAGGATGGGCTTGAGGCTGGCCATCCCCTCATCCCTGCCTCCTTCTGCCCACAGTTCCTGTCAGATGGCTATGTGGCACACTTGGGCCAGTTGGAGGCAGGCTCCCATTCCCATGCCCCCTCAGGACCTCCGAGAGCTGCTCTGGCCAAGAGCAGCTATGCTGTGACTGCCCCTGTGGACTTCCTCCGTAAGCAGAGCCAGCTGCTTCGCTCCCGAGGCCCCAGCCAGGTGGACCGTGAGGGTCCAGGGACACCTCCCACCACCCTGGCCAGGGGCAAGACTCGAAGCATCAGCCTCAAGCTGGACAGTGAAGAGTGAGCGAACTGTGGCTGGACCTGGGTTATTTATTGATACTCAAGGGGCTTTGGTGACTGTGAGGGAGACTGGGGCCTAGACTTTTGGCCCTAGCCCTGCACTCACAACCTGTGTGGTTACTCCTCAGTATTACGTCCCTTTGTGGGGGGTGGGGGGACCATAGCCCCCAGGGGAGAAAGGAGGGAGTAGGCTAGGGCCCAGCAGCTTTTCCAGTGTGTGAACCTATAAAAATAAACAACTGCACTCTACCGAAGGCCTGCCGTCTGGGGCACTGAAGTGCTGAAAGGGGCTAGGACCTGCTCAGAGTCATGAAGTACGGCCAGGTTGGAGGCCCCTTTGCTTTCCCCAAGAGTCCTGGCTGCTCTTCCCTAGGTCACTTCCTAGATAGTCTGCCTATTCCTTCTCCTGCCCCCAACCTCGGACAGTGTTTGAGTTTATGAGAGTCACATGGCTTCTTGCTTTGTAGCCCTCCTTCACCTCTGCCCCAAAGGAAATTTCTGTCTCTAAAAGCCAAAGCCAGGGGATCATGGGACCTGAGGCTAGAATAGAGTGACCTATATGGACCATTCCTGCTTTATCTACTACTTAATACTAGAGGTTCCTGAATACTAGAGTAGCCAGAAAGAAACACCCCCAGAGACCTTAGAGCAGACCAGTAGGGACCTAGTGAGATCCTGATCTCTTGCTGACCACTGTGCACCGAGCAGCCAGCCAGTGATGAGCAGCCTTTGGGATGGAGAGATAAATAAGGCCTTTATATACAGAGAAGCGCAAAGTGGCAGTGGGGTGGACAGGTGGTGGCAGCAGTGGGCTTGGCAGGGCAGGGCAGGACTGAGGCCCTGTCAGTGGGAAAAGATGCCCCGGAAGCGGGCTTTGTCCTCCTCATCCTTCTGCCGGATCCTTGTCTCCAGGGCCCGCAGCTCTTTGCTTACCACAGGTGCCAGGGCAGGGTCTAGCTCCAACACCTTGGCAAAGTCAGCCTGGGCTTCCTGGGCATTCCACACAGCAGCATGGGCCTTACCCCGCTTGAAGTAAGCCTTGACATTGTCTGCAGGCACACCAGAAAGCAGAAGGCACTCAAGAGGCATGAGAGAAGAACAGCCGGCCTGTCTCCCGGCACCTGGGCCCACCCTGGGGAGAGCTGGTCTACTCTCTCAACAGCAGGCCAATGCTGCCCCACCCTGTCGTACCACCCATACTTCCTGGACACAACCCTTGCCCTGCTGGGATGGGAGCTCTGGTTAGGCTCTTGTGGGGGTCTCAGAATGGGGAGATGTCAGAGCCAAGCACTGGGCCCCAGTGCCCATTGCGCTGGGCAGGAAGGGGTCATGCTGGACTGCCCAGGGCCTGGTGCTCACCATCATACTTGTTGAGGATGGAGGAGCAGTGGTCCAGCACTTCGTAGTACTCCTGAGCCACCAGCTTGCACTGGCAATAGTTGAGCAGCAGTGGTGTGATCTGCAGGTCCAGCTGGATCCAGTCAGGTGACCCAGGCTGCTCCTGGGGTGTGTGGGGGCAGGCAAAGTGGAGACGCTGAGACCTGGCCCTAGCCCTGGCTTCCCCCATGTGGCCCCACTGCGGCCTCTGAGTGTACCTTCATCTGCAGGTTCTTGAGGCAGGCGATGGCATCGTAGTACTTGGCGGCAGCCTCTTTCACCTGCCCCTCACGGTATAACCGGTTGCCCTCTTGGTGGATGAGTGGTACTGCCTTTGCTTTCTCCTCATCTGTCATTGCCCATGGGTCCTGCTGATAGGTGCCAGGACTCTCCACCTGCCAGGACAGGGGCCAGTTCAAGGCAGAGCCCGTGGGGCATCTTGGAGTCTTCTGCAGCAAACCTGTCCAGGGCAAGGCTGGCTGGGCCTCACTGAAACCATGTTACCTGATCACTGCTTTCTTAGTACACACTCATCAGCCCCTCTGTGCCCAGCCAGACCAAGTACTAAGGACTTCATGTAACAGTGAAGATGATGGCAAACACCCATGCCCTGGCAGAAAATAACCTATATGGACAAGAGGAACTACCTAAACCTTCAAAGCATGGCCCGCTGGCCAGCTGTGCAGGGAAAGATGGGCTCATGGACAAAGGACAGAAGAGGCAAGGTGGGTGGACGGGTCAGTCCTCCCCAAAGGTGATCCCTGAGGCCTGAGGCGAAGTGTGGGGCCCTAGGAACTTCCGCATAGTTTCCTCTCCTTGTCCTTTCACAGACCAACTGTGGACAGCAGGGTGGAGTGGGGAGGTAGGGCTAATGCCCCCTTGAGACAGAGAGGGGCCCTTACCTTCAGCATCTCAATGTGGAAGATGAGAGGCTGAGGGCTCTGCTGCAGGGCGTCCAGGTCCGAATGGCCCAGGGAGTTGTGCTCGTGCATCTGAGCAATTCCACAGCAATGCCGCTGGCCCTCCAAGGGGTCCTTGCCCTCGGCGATGTTTCGGAGGCTCTTGGCCACCAGCGGATACAGGACTACATGCTGCAGGAAGGTGGCACAAGAAAAGCTTCACCATCACCATCCAAACAAAGAAAACCAGAGGGTTTTCTCCCTCTGGTGCCTTTTTCTTTCTTTCTTTTTTTTTTTTTGTGAGGGGAGGATAGTGGGGGTGGGGCAGGAGGGTGGTTGGAGACACGGTTTCTTTGTGTACCTGACTATCCTGGAACTTGCTCTGTAGACCAGGCTGGCCTCAAACCCAGAGATCCGCCTACCTCTGCCTCTTGAATATTGGGATCAAAGTGTGCCACCACTGCCCAGCTTCCTCTGGTGCCTCTCTACCCTTTCAGTAAAGCCCTCGGCTTTGCCATGATCTCTGGCCGCCAAATCGAGCACCTGCCTAACTCACAAACACACAGACCAACAATTCACTTGTCTCCTGTCCATCTAGATACAGTCTTGCTCTCTCCTCTTTCTGCCGTCTCCCCTCCCCCTTCTCTTCTTCTTAGGGATGAAGCCCACAAGCCAAGCTCCTTACCACATCCTGTCCCAGCACCACCTCTTCCTTCTGCTCCACATCTATTTATGTCAAGGCCCATCTCAGAGCTGGGCACAAGGCAGCCACTTGAAATCCCCAAAGGAGCTGGCTGTGGTAGTAGACACTCTAAGAGATAGATCCCTGAGCCCTGAGTTCGAGGACACCCTGTTCTACAGAGTGAGCTCCAGGACATTCAGGACTATAGAGAGACCCTGCCTCTAAAAACAGACAGACAGACAGACAGACAAAAAGTCCCGAGGGGGAACTACCTGGTGCATTAGTGCACCTACTATCCTACCTACTTAGGAAACTGAGGCTGGAGGATCATTTGAGTCTGGGCGTTCAAGAGCATCTTGGACAGTACAGAAATCCAAAACAACAAAACAAAACAAAACAAAAACCAGGGGCTCAAAGGGTCAAGCGTGAGGACCTGAGTTTAGATTCACAGCACCCATGTCAAAGCTGTATATGAGTGACCCAGAATGCCTGTAACTCCAGTTCTGGGAGATGGAGACAGGTGCGTCCCTGGAGTGCATTAGCCAGTCTGGGGCACACGCACGCATGCACGCTGAAAACAACAAGTGCTTCCACAGAGTGGGGCTGGGTGTATGGCTCAGAGATGGGTTATTTGCCTAGCATGTTTGATGCCCTGGGTTCAGTCCTCATTACCATGATTAAAAAAGAAAAAGAAAAAAGCTCTGAGAAGATGGGAACAGAAGACGGCTTAACCTAGAACCCTTCCGTCAGAAAAGATGCAGGGACAGTGGAATTCATGTAACGACTCCCCATGGCCCCTGCTTTCTGCACACAGTGGACTGCCTGGCGGACATTCACATGCAGATGCCTCTGGACACAGGGCTCTGGGTTGGCTCCATCTGGGAACAAGAAGTAAGGAAAACCCAGTTCCGGGGCTGGAGAGATGGCTCAGCAGCTAAAAGCACTGAATGCTCTTCCAGAGGACCTGGGCTCAATTCCTAGCACCCAAGTGTCAGCTCACAACTGTCTGTAACTCTAAGATCTGACACCCTCTCATAGACACACATGCAGACAAAACATCAGTGCACATAAAAAAAAAAATGTTTAAGAAAGAAAGAAAAAGCCAGTTCCCATCATATATGGGTACAACCAGACAGTAGGCCAGATCCTGACCATGCAGGGAACCAGGGTAGGAGAACCCAGAGGAGAGGTTCAAGGAAACCTCTAACAGCCAGGGGAAAACTTCCTAGCAGTGATTGCCAGGAATTGGCTTTGTAGTATGAGGGATGGACCTGGCTACAGGAAATGAATGGGAAGGACAGGCAAAGGGTTACACAGGGACAGACTCCAAGGTACATGTGAGCAGCCATGTTATGCACCGCCATAAAAATGAACAAGAGCCATAAAAGTATGAAGTAATGGGTTTTATGGGCCATTTGTGTGTAAGAATGAGTCCCCTGGATGGAGCCTGGTTTATGGACAGGAAAGAGAATAGAAGCCAGGACACAAGTCAGGAGACTGGTGATACTTTGGAAAGGGTGCTGAGATTAAAGGCGTGCACCAGCATCTCCTGGCTTCATTTGGAGAAAGTTCGTGGCTAAGCCGGGGCAGGGGACCCAAGGGTGGGATATAGGGCATGTCGAGACAAATGCCACAGAGCCCAGCACTGATACCTTGACATCACAGAGGAACTGGGCAATCTCCCCCTCACGCATGGTGCACACGATCGTCTCCCACACAGGCAACTTGAACTTCTTGCCAATGATGAGCTCCATCGGCTTGCCACGTGTTCGGCTGTCATCCAGTACAGATCCCTCGTCATCACTGTGAAGCGTTCGAAAGTGGAATGTGGCCTGTGGGGCCACATGGGACATCAGGCAAAGGTACTAAGCTTCACCAAGCCCCAATTTCAAATCTCACCCTCCTCCTAAAGACGTGGTGAGAGATGACACTCTCCTGGGACCACCAGCTAGCCCTGCCCCTGGCTTTATCCCACCACCTCAGTGAGAGTGAACCACAGACAGGGAAGTAAGAGGCGGAGGGCACATGGCTACTGGGGCACAGGGCTGAGACACAGCCTGTTTCCAATCACGCTTTCAGAAAGGATCTACGAAGCTCCTACCACAGGCCTACACTCTGTGCAAGGCACAGAGTGCCTGTGTGGGGTAAACCACACAGAAGCCATGGACCCACATGGGAGCTCCCGTGGTCTTTCTAGAATACAGGAAGAAGGGTCAGACAAAACCCCTTAGGCTATGTTAGAGGAAAGTGATTTTGCTTTTCTTTTTTTTTTTTTTTTCTTTTCTCC